GTGATCAGAACCTGCAAGAGACAGCTCCTCAGCTGGGAGAGTGCACCGATCACGGCGGACTAGAGAACCTCTCCACATGGAGTGCCTGAAGGCTTAACCTCTGGAAGGTACTCCAAGAGACTTTGGGACTCTTAACTGCTAGAGGACCGGGTTTCCCTTTGAGTGTTTGTATTGATGTGTGTTTGTTATGCTTTGACCTAGTAAACGCATAATGCAATCAAACAGTCGTGTGTGAGAATCTCTTCTGTCTGTTGTGCCTGTCCTAAGCTCTCCCGAGAAGCAGTGACACATTTTGGATGTCACACTCAAGCCAGTGGCTTGAGACACATTCAGGACAGTTACTATAAAGTAACTGCTCCCATTCAGGACAGTTGTACAAACCTAATTGGCTCACAAGTGTCCTGTTTTAATAATAATTCTGTAATCCTATAAAAACTCTGACCTGACAATCACCAGGGCTGCTTCTACTCCTGAGATAGACAGCCTGGCCGGTCGAAAATTAAAATTTACCTTGCTACTTTTCTTAAAGTGGTGTTGGTGATTTTTTTTTTATGAACTCAGACCTATAACAGAAATGTGAGCTCTCAGCTTCTAGCCGCCATGCCTAACACTCGCTGTCATGCTTTGGCCATTATGGACTCTCCTTCTGGAAACATAAGCCAAAAACCCCTCTTTCTTCCACATGGTATTTTATCACAGCAACAGAAAAGTAACTAATACAGAAGTCAAAACAAATGTGGAGCCCAAGATCCAAAAGAAGGGACAGAGATAAAACAGCATTGCTAAAAACTATGGGGGTATTAAAATGGGCCAGAGCAGGATGTGTGAGAGGCAGAGGATGGGTGAGTGAGATGCAGAGCATGATGGATGGGTGACATGGAGGGCAGGATGGGTAGGTGAGATGCAGAACAGGATGAGTAAGTGAGGTGAAGAGGATGGATGAGTGAGATGGGCCTGGGACCAGACTGGGTACCCAGAGAAAGATAAACCCTCAAGTCAAGGGGTGCTTGACTCTAGCCAGTCTCAAGAGTTGGGGAAAGGTCTCATGGCAGAGGTGAGGAAACCCCTTGCTTAGTGGCGTGCCTAGGCTTCAGTGTCAAGAGACCTGTCAGGGATGCTTCCTTCTGTGCCCTTTGCTGAGCTCAGACATTTGGTGCATAGTACTGGGTGAGCTAGGGGGTCATTAACTGATTCCCACCAGCTCATTTCCATAAGTCCCACATCAGAACCAACAAATGTTTCCCACCATCTCAGCCCCAAACCAAATGAGGGTCTTGCTTCTAAGCCTGGGCACACCTGTGGCTCCTGCCCTTCTGAGGACCACAGGGGAAGAGATGAGTAAGAGCATGCATAGCTCTAAGGGTGGTAGCTGGCATGGGGGACCCTGGAGGAGGCACGGTGAGGGACAGAGGCTTGGGCACCATCTTCTACCTCCCCAGGAAAAATACAATCACCAAGCAGCCACACTTTGCTCCTGCCCACAAGGTGTTCTGATGGAACTGCATACACTGAGGACTGGGTGTGGAGTGGAGCGGAGAAGCCCAGCAGAGGCAGGACCAGGATCAGGACCCCAGGGTGGGAAAATGAAATGGCAGGCTCATGTCTTTCCAAGCCTCAGGGAGAACTGACATTTTGCTGTCCTCAAGGAGATGAGGAAAGAAAGCAGTGACCCTAGGGTCAAGTTAGGTGGACCTTTTCTCAGGAGAGAAGGGGGCCTTGGGACCACAAAGCCTTGGGGAATCACTTCCAGTTTCAAAACCTTGGGAGACAGGTCTTTCTACTTTCTTCATTGAGAGTCGGCTCCCAGACTTCCCAGCCTGTCACATGAAATCTCTATTATTCCTGAGGTCCAGCAGCTCTACCTGGAGGGAGGGGACCTGGTGATGCAGGTTAGGGATTAGAGGTTGGGCATCCTGCCCAAGAAGAAGGAAGAGGAGGAGGAAGGGCTGCACTGAATAGCATGCTCAGTCCTCTGGGAGTTGGGTGGGGAGGTCTAAGCCCTCCTTAGTCCAGGTCACATGGACTAGTGTGAGGTCTCTGAGTCTCTATCCCAGCATACCAACCTCCTTCCCAGGCTGTAGCATCCAGGGCCTGGTTCAGGCAGGACTGGCAGAGCAGCTGGAGGAAGGCACAGCTCGCTCTGTAGCCTGGGGCCTTACTGCAGAAAACTACTGAAGTACAGGTTTCTGTTCAACACCAAATGCTTATCCTTCAAGCCTTGTCCTTGCCTGTTTCCTAACCTCTCTGCCTCAAAGCTCCCAGTGCTGTAGACTGGCACCCTAGAGGGATTGTAGGCCTCTAACACAAGAGCAGATCTTTTCTCAGAGCTGTGTAGTTTTTGTTCTTACTGGCTTGTTTTTGTTTTTTGAGACAAAGTCTCACTCCACAGCTCAGGCTGGCCTCAAACTCACCTATGTATCCCAGGCTCAGATTGCAGGAATGTGTCAGTACACTTGGCTTTAAGTTGTCCATTTTGGACTCGAGCAAAGGTAAGTTGAGCAACAAAGACTTGGCTGGTGGTTACCCAGACTTGCAAGGAGAACAAACTAAGGCTTAGAAATTGAGCTGGTTCCTCCTAGACACACCAAGTGTCTAGGGATGCTCAGGGGTTATGGCCACTGCCCACGGCATGTCCCCCTTGACCCTGGGAAGGTAAGGAGGGGGTACTGAACTGCCAGCAGAGAGCTGGCTTCAGTGACCCTAGGGCACTCCATCAATAAGCTTTCCTCAACCCCACTCCCCCAGGCACTCTGCCCACCCCCTTCCATTGTCCCTGATACTAGAGTTGCTCTGGGGCTATGTGATGAAGGAGGTCCCCTACCCCCACCTCCCTGTGGCCCTCCCAGTTAAAGGCCCAGCAGGATTCCTGCAAGGCTCACTAATTAGTGCAGGCCTAGCCACACCTGCAGCTTCCTGTCCAGTCCCTGGAGCAGGCAGAGGCCAGGGTGGGGGCAATCCTGGGGCAGCAGGTCCCGGATTCTCCATTCACTTTCTGGTTGGAGGAGCTGGGGGAGGGGGCACGACTGAGAACTAAGGGTCTTAGAATCAGTCCAAGACCCTACTGGATGGGACTCTACTGTGACTTCCTCCCTTTGGTTCTCAAACTCTGATGGATGACCTGACTTGGTTCCATCCCACCAACCAGGCTGCCACTGGTCCTTCTACATCTTTACACAAGCATCTCCTATCCAGTGACTCATGAAGCTCCACTTCCTCTACTACTAACCAAGGTCTTTGACGGGAACAACGGTAGCTCAACTGGGCAAAGAGGACCCTCCTTTCCCTAGGTGGGTATTGCCAGGACTCATGCCCCATGCCAAGTTTGCCCTGCCTCTCCTTTCTGGCCAGCTCTGTCCTTAGCCCAGCATGAAATAACCCTTCCTGCCTCAGCTGTGCCCTATGATGGCCAGACTTACCACTATGAAAGACAATAACCCTAGGCCCCTGCCCTTTGAGCCCCAGCCCATCTCCTAGTTCTCCAAGCAAGAGCCTGGAGTCTCAGGGTAGAGGACCAAGCTGGGGGAGGAGGGCAGGGAAAGACAGCATACCTACTTAAGGAGGGCAGCAGCTTTAAGGGGCTCCAGACCCTTCCTAGGCCATCTTATGCTTGGATATATTCTCCAGGTAGCACTCTCCCAACTCCAGGCACCTAAGATGGTTGGAGGGGGATGGGGAAGCCAGGTTGGTCCAGACAAGGAGGGTGTGGAGAGTGCTGGCCCAGCTCCTGGGGCTATCCTATGAAGACTCTGAGGGCAAAGGTGAGGGCATGGCAAGATGAGGGCACCACAGCAGAGCCTGGAGAGTCCTCTATAATAACCTTTGCTTTGTTACTGTTGATGTGACCTTATCCTCCTGGGTGGGGCTGGAGTGGAGCATGGGGGCACTACTGTCTCTGGGTTGGGGTGGGCGGGGCCTACAGAGTGTTGGCTATAAATAAGTTGCTGGCTTTCGGGAAGGAACTGGTAAGAGGCTGCCTGAACCTTCCCCACCTGGAGGAAGAGGCAGTGGGGTGAGGAGAGGCTGTACAGAGGTTGTACCCACAGAACCCTGCGAGGCCACATTCCAGAAGGAAAGCTGAGCCTAGAGGTCCAGACTCTGGTCCCACCCAGCCTGGCAATTCTTCTTTGCCCTCAGGTGGGAGGCCCTACAGGGGCAAGGTGTCACATGGCCTAAACTCTGGGCACAACGGGATCCCTCTCTCCACTGATTTCAGGGCCCTGGTCACCCTAGCTTTTGCCTGGGGTGGGGGGGTGGAGGGGTGAGGATCTGCACTCCCGGCATCTCCACAGGGCAGGACCTGTGGGCTTCCTTGAGAAGCTTGGCCTGACCCCTCTCACCTTTTCTTCCTAACTGCTTCACACTGAACCCTCAGCACTTGTCTCAACCTCACATGATGCCTGCACCCATGGCTCTGCTCCCTGTAGGCAGAAGGGCACCCCACTTGTTCTGGGCTCAGCTGTTGGGCATCCTCTATGTCCACTGCACCTCCATGTCCACTGTACTTCCTCTGTGACACTGGGTGGCTGAGGAGTGGGGATGAAGAAAGGATGGTTGAGTCCAGTTCCTTCCCCTCACCCAGCACACCCTGTTAGGAACATCTCTGGCTCTGCCCAGCTGGGGCCACTCAACTGGTTTACTCCAGTGATCTGGACTGCCTGAGACATGGGCCAGGGAAAGTGACCTTGGACAAGACATAGTGGGGATAGCTTTGGTCCTCTGGACCTTTATAGGTTCTCTGCCTCAACCATGGCTCATGCCTACAGATCAGGCACCCAAGGACCCATATAGCACACCAGCATAAATCTATATGTGCTCTCTCCCTTTGAACACACATGCACATCACATACAAGCATATACACACTCACCTCCACTCTGTGTGTACAAGCATGTGCACACACACTGTTGCACATCTCATGCCTCCTGAGTGGAGGTGGAAAGACATCATTGGCACATGCTTCTGTATATAGATACCTCCCCTAGGAGGCTCATGCAAGGACCCATTAGCACAACACACTGACACCAATCTTCTGAGGATGAGTGCCCACCAACTCTACCCTGGTGCACATGTTTCTGCAGAAACATTCATTCACACAGTTCCTAATGCCAAGTGTCTCAGTGCACATTGCACACACACACACACACACACACACACACACACACACACACAGACACACACACACACACACACACACACACACACACACACATTCACTCTCTCTGCCCCTGCAGTTGGTTTGGGAGCTCTCTCTGAATCTGGGGTCTTAGGGAGGATCCTGTTGGTAACCAATACTTCCCAGCCCTCTCCTCTGGGACAGCCTTAACTGGAACCTTCATCTCTCTACCTGTGCCTCTGTGCCACTGCACAGCTCCATTGGACCTAGAGCCTCTAGGTCTCCCTATGTCTTGGTTCTCTTTTTCTGTGGGAAGAAGCAGTGGTCCCAGCAGATCCCTCCCCTCACCAGCTGGGTACCCATACTCACTGACACGGGGGTGGGTGATGTAGTTTCTGGTCACAGCCTGCATATGCTCTTGGGCTGTGCCTGGGTCGCAGCCATTGCCAGTTCGTCCCCCAGGCCTGCTGTCTGTTTTCATGGCCATGGTGCGTGTTGGCCTGGGAGTCAGTGCCTGAGTGGGCTGGAGGCAGCTCTAAGACTTCAGTCCCAGCTGAAGCTGGAGCAAGCTGCCCAGTATGTGCCCCAGGGCCACCCCTCCCCTTCCTGCCCTGTCTCCTCCCCCAGGTTGACTGTAAACAGGGCAGCTGGAATGAGCCAGCTCTAATGCTTCCCCAATCACAGGCTGTGCAGATTCTGGAGTGGCTGGCTACCTGGGTGCTGCTGAAGGCTTGCAAGGAAGGGCAGAGTGAGGTACCCAGCACGTTCACTACCTCTGTACCCAATTGTTCCTCAGCATACCACCCACAATGGATGTGAATTCAGCTTTTCCTCTGAACTATAGTGCTCTCAACAATTCTTGTCCCTCGCCATGCCATTCCCTAGTCTTCTCATGCCCCATTTCTGACAAGCTGTCTTCTCACAACCTCCAAACCTGCGCTCTTTTTCCTGATCATACCTGGATATTTTCTTCCCGACATCACCTTTAGAGGCTCATCTCCTGAACCACCTCCTACGAGAAGCCTTCCCTGGATTCTCCAGTACCCTGCATTCAACTTATATCTGAACTCCTTAGGAGAAGACTCTCTTTTCCCAGTGGGCTATAAACCCCAAGAGCCTGTGTCTTTTCCATCAGACTGGGTTTCCTTAAGCCTTTGTGTCCTATGCTATTGAGAATTTTCTGAGAATCAGCACGGATCTCTTTGACTCTGACTCATTGCCAGGGATCCATACAGCAGGCCTACCCTGATTTTCTCAACTAAGGAAAGAAAGTACAAACGGAGGTCACTGTTACCACATACATATATATGTGCAGCTATGACTCAAGTTATGCCCACAGCCTGACCTGTATTTCTCCAGGACCTCACCTCTGGTTTCCAGAGCCTTCTTCATGCCAGGGAGCTAAGCAACCTGCTTTTCTGGGAGCTAGTAGAGTGCTGACACAGTTGTGCTGGCAATGTAGAGTGGACGCTGTGTAGTGACTGGATAGGTCCAACCCAAGTTCTGCCCCAGCATCTGACTCCCGTGTCTCATTCTGGACTAGGACCTCCTTAATAAACACCTCCCAAACCATTGCACTGGAGCTGAGGGAAGGGTGGGAGTGCAGTTGCCGCAACTCCATTTTCCAGTGCCCCATTCTGAGTGGCCCAGGTGGGGTAGCCTTGGTGTTCCTCCATCAGTCTGTTCTGTGTTCCCTGCTCACTTCCTCTAGCTTTGGTCCATTTCCTGACTCTGCCCCCTCTCTCACAACTCTCCTTCTGTCACAGCACTCTTCTGTCCCTATAAAGGACCAGCTCGTGAGTGGTCTTTGCAATGAAGGGGTAGTTCTACATCCTCATTGTATACTTTCATGAATCTGCACAGGTAAGGGCATGATGTAAGGCTCTGCCCATGGTCCCAGTGTGTTTTCTGGCATGATGTTATGCTAGATGTTCAGGAAGCTACTATTGGGGGTAATCAGAGTGGTGGTTAACTTTGATTGCCAACTTCACAGGATTCAGAATCACCTAAGTAATATGACAAGCCACCTCACACCTCTACCCTCATGCCTTCCCCACCATGATGGACTACACCCTCAAACCATGAGTCAAACCTTTCTTTCCCTAAGTTGCTTTTGCCAGATACTTTGTCACAGCAACTAGAAAAGTACTAGGGTGAGGGTACTCTTCTATCATAGCTCTGCAGCTTCCGAAAATCTACAATTACTGTAAAATAAACTTAAATGAAAGCGATGTGAGCAAAACAGAGTTTTTGTGAGTGCTTTGGCAGTGTTGGTGGGCGTTCCCTCTATTCACACTGGGCTCTTAAGCAGAAATTCCTACTTTGCATGATTCATTCCTCTTGAAAGACTTACTGCTCATTATTCCCAATAAGTGGGTTTCTTTTTTTTGTTTGTTTGCTTGGGTATGGCATGAACTTGCTATGTAGACCAGGCTAACCTCAATCTCACAACGATCTGTCTGCCTCTGCCTCCTGAGTGTTGGGATTAAAGGCGTGTACCACCATACCCAGCTCCCAAGAAGTATTTTGAAGATAGAAAGAAAAGCTCACAGAGGGGGATTCTTAGCCAGAGAAAGCACGGATGCTGGGAACCTGGGTAGACGCTCCATTGATAGATGACCCACATCTGTGAATACCAGCCCCTTTATAATCCTAGTGTCTACTCCTCCACACCCCTTTGAGGTTCCTTTTAACTATAGTCTGTCACGGTTCAGTGACCACCATTCAAGTCTGATGGGTTTGGGGATCCCAAGGTATAGGTGCAGGAGAAATCAGGACGCAGGGGATGCAGTGGAATGTGAACCAATGCATACTTTATTCTAAGAAGCAAGCTTATTTATAGTACAAGAGGAAGAGAAAATGTTCTTCTCAAGCCAAATTATCTCATCGTGATGTTTACAGTACCTTCATGATATTTGCAGTACCTTCGTGTTCCCAGGGCTCAGCCCTTTTTGGAATCGTATCTGTCCTTCCATGCTTATTAAACATTCTGTTCTTATAACTTTATTAGCCACACAGCTTTGTTATACAAGCTTCCTTATGTACGTTTAATAGGGTTCAAGGAACAGTCAGTCTCATGATAGGAATAACTGCAGAAGAGCATTCAAGTTCCCAGGGAACTGAGGCCTCCCATTCCAGCTCTGAGTTGAGTTCAGAGCAGAGCTCAGGCCTTCACAATAGTCCATTTTCCTGCAAGTGAGGATAGGAACGGAAAGGAGTGAGTTGGTGATGCTGGGACCAGTTTCTTCTTTATTTCAGTGAGAGATGCACACGCACACTGCACTCACATGATAGAGTCTTGGGACCAAGGCCATTTGATCCAGTCTCTGAATTGGGGGCAGGTGGTGAGGGGTATGCTGTGGCCAGCCCTCCTCTTCCAGGCCTGCTTGTGCAGTCCACTGGAGCCAGGAGACTGGGGTGGTGCTGTGCTGGGGACTCAGGGTCACACAGGGGTAGGAGTCTTAAGTGTTAGCTTTCTTGCCATCTCCACCAGGGCTGTCTACTTTCCGTTGTTCTAGCGGGCTGTAGGGCTCTAAAGCCGAGGAGCCCAGCTCATAGCCTGCAGGCAGGTCCAGGAGTGGGGCTGTGGAAAAGCAGATGGCTGGCAGAGCGGGTGATGCGGAGGCCAAGGACAGCGGGTTGAAACATGGGGAGGAGTTCCTGGGGTCACCCAAGGAATCGACCCTGTGGCTGGCAGGCAGGCCCAGCAGACCAGGGGTCAGTGTCAGGAGGCTGGGAACTCTGGGCACAGACAGCAGCCGGCCTTGCTCCAGCAGCCGCAGAATGTTGGAGGTGGCAAATGCCTCAGAGGCTGAGGAAGGCGCCTGTTTCTCCAGGTCTCTGCTCTGGTCCTTCTTCTGCTTGGTGCGGCGATTCTGGAACCAGACCTTCACCTTGGGGTGCACAGAGGGGTCAGAAGGGGAAAGGGAGGGCCAGGTGGAAGAGCCAGGAGGAAAGGAGAGAAAGTACAGAGGTAGGTGTGTGGAGAGTGGGGGTCCAGGGCACATGGGTAGAGAGGACAGAGGAGATAAAGAAGAGCAGATGTCATTAAGGTCAACCCACACCAGCCTGTACTGGGGACCTAATTGGGGTCCTCCAGCCCTGAATTATGAACATCCCTTCACTGCTGACTCTGGCTTAGGATGGAGGAATGGATTGGCAGACAGAAGGTGGAGTTTACGGGTACACTGAAGGAACAAATTTTCCCTTCATGGCCAACGCACTCTGCTCTTTCTCAAGCGTCGTCTTAGCCACCACTTAGGTATGGCAATTCCCAATACTGCCTCAAGTCCAGGCCTCTGAACTGAGATCCAAGCTGAGCATCCAGTTGCCATTTATTTAAACAGGGTCTTATGTATCCCATACTGGCCTTGAACATGCTATGTAAGTTGAGAATGACCTTGAACTTCTTTTCCTCCTCCTGGGATCACAGTGCTAGAATTACAGGTCTGTGTCACCAGGCACGAAACCCAGGGCTTTGTGCATTCTAGGCAAGCACTCTACCAACTGAGCTTCATCCCCAGTCTTGTGCTAAATATTAGAACTCCTCCTAAACTTATGTTTCTGCTTCCATAGGAACGATGCAGAGAGACCCTGAGGGGAAAGGATGAGAAGCCTCTCTGGTTCTCTCCAGCCTCAAAGCTCGGGTCTCAGAGGTCCAGCCACTCAGGCAGCTCTGAGAGAAGGAGATGACAGAGACTCTGAAGTCATGACTTCTGTGTTGGGAAAACTGAGGGTCTCACAGGCAAAGGTACAGACCCACTCCAGGCAGAAAGGGCAGTGACAAGGGGTGTGGCCATTTCAGAAAGACAGAGTGTAGGGATGGTACTCCCATACACACTGCCTTGTCATAGATCTATGTGGAGAAGAGGAAAGTATGGGCTGGAGACTCCCCAGTAGGTAGGCCCTGGAAGGCCGAGGGTGGGCTGGTCTGGGGCCCAGACCCGGTATGTCATTTGTTGTTACATGTGGGTTAGGTCAGGGATTCTCAACCCTGACTACACATGAATTACCTGGGCACAGTTTAAATCCTGATCCCCAGGTCCTGGCCCAAAGCCTTTCCATCAGAGTCAAGGCCAGGGTGGAGGCATCAAGATTTCTACAATGTTCCGTGGGGGCCTCCAACATGCTACTGGCATTGATGCTTCTCACCATCAATCCCAGGTTCATGAGGCTCAGTGAACTGAGACAAGCTCAGTGTCTCCTGTGCTCCTGCCTCTTCTAAGAAGCTTTTGGTTTTACCTTTTACTTCCTGTCAGGTACGAGTTCTTTAAGACTCTGCTCAGTCTGTCCTACAGGAAGTCATTACAGGCCGACTTCTCAGGGCGGCAGGGTCAGGGTGCTATCCTGTAGTGCGGGGCACTTCCTGGGCCATCATTCTCCCCAGTTGATCTCCTCAGCACTCTACAGGGGCTCTATGTAGGCCAGCATCTTGGCTCCCTGGACCTCAAGAAATGCTTGGTGACTTCGTGTTCCAATCCGTTACTGGGCCATGCTGTGACCAAAGGCTCACACCAGAGCAGCATGGTTTCTAGGGCTGGGGAGGCATTTTCTGGGAGAATAACTCCTGAGCCTGTGGTCAGTGTTTAATTCTAAGATTTGTTTAAAATGAAAATGACATTAAAATTTATTTGTATTTGAGATAAAGTCTCCCTATGCGCCCAGACTGGCCTTGAATTCTGTATCTTCTTGCCTCAGCTTCCTGAGTGCTGAGATGACAGACTTTCTCTTAGGCATTCATCTTTCAAAGACCTCTTCCTGGGAACACAGGCTCATACAGAATCTTCGGCCATTGATGCCTGAGTGTGGAGGCTGCTCTTAAGTTTTGTGTCCTGTACTAGGAAGGCCCCACTCTTCTGCCCTTCTCAACTTCTGGGGCAGGGGCAGTAGGCAGGGGCTGAAGACAGTTGCTGAAGGGCAGGAACAGCACTTAGGCAAGCTAATTGGTAATCTCCTAAGTCCTTAGACTTGGCGGTTTATCCTCAGCCTGTTATTTGGCTGCCAAGGGAGAGGACTCCTGAGTTAGCCCCTCATGTAGCCTTCCTTTAAGACTTTTTCTCTTCTCCTTTCCAGCTCTGGGCTTGTTTGCTTGTTTATGTGGTTTGAGTCAAGATCTCCTGTAGCCCAGGCTGGCCTCCCACTCCCAATGCATCGGAGGATGACCTTGAACTCCTGGTCCTCCTGCCTCCACCTCTAGAGTGCTGAGATTACAACTGTGCACACACCATACCTGGCTCTTCACTTCTGTTTATCATACCTTTTCTCACATGGTTTGCAATACCTTAATCTCCCTTAGGGAGAGATTGTATTCCCCAGAGCTCTGGTACACAAAGGGTCTCTGAGTTATTCTTTACCAAGATCAAGGAAGGTCACCCAGGCTATAGCAGTCTAAGGTGTCAGACTTCTTATCCAGATCCTAGTCCTGGGACATATCAGTAGTGTGACCTCAAGCAAACAACCCTTCATCTATAAAATGGGATAGTGGCTGCCTCACAAGACTGTCAGGAAGAACGTGTTAACTCACATGCAGAGCCTGGCAGAGGTAAGTACTATTATTATTATCTGTAACTCTGTTGTCAGCTTGAAATTTCTCCATTCACACAGGATATGTGCTATTTGTCAAAGTTTTCCCTCAGAGATAAAGCATATTACTGTTTTTGTTTGTTCCTGCTGTTGTTTTTGAGAGGTCGTCTGTAGTCTAGGCTGACCTCAAATCCCCTATATAGCTAAGGATGATTCTGAACTTCTGATCCTCCCGTCTTCACCTCTGAAGTCCTGAAAATACAGGCTTGCACCACTACACCCTGTTTACTCAGTGCTGGGATTGGGGCTGGAATCCACGGCTCTGTACATTCTAGACAAGCATTCTACCCAGTGAGCCACATCCCCAGCTGCATATTAGTGTTAAAATATCAGCGCTTCCTGAGTGAAGGGGGTTTCGGACCTTTCCCTTGCACAGGAGGAACTGAGGCACCCTGAGATGAAGGGAAGGTGAGGGAAGGGAGGAAAGGGCTGGGAAGGCAGAGGTTCTCAGTCCAGCCTGTCATGGCTCATCTCTCCCCACAACTCCCCACTAGTTTATTTGGAGAAGTATTCTCCCTGGGTTGCTTAGGCTGGTCCTAAACTTCTGGGTGTGATCAACCGACCTAAGCCTCTTAAAAACCTGGGATTGCAGATTCACACCATTGTGCCTGGCACTCCCTGGAATCTTTGTTCTACAAGTCAATTTCTCACCACCCCTCCCTGAGGCACCCCTTACCTGCCAATATCTTCTAAGGCATGCCCTGGATCTTGAATGTCCCATTTCTCTGGTCTTTTCTATGCTTCTTACATCTGGAAGACTCCTTCTGTCTAAACAACTCTCTCCTCCCCTCCTATCCTCTCCCTCCCTCTCTTCCTCCCTCTTCCTTCCTTTTCTGTGTGTATGTATCCATGTATCAGCATTTGTGTGAGGGGCACATGTGTGCTATGGTGAGCATGTGGAGGTCAGAGGACAGCCTCCAGGTATTGGTCCTCACCTTCCACCTTGTTTGAGACGGGGTCTCTGTTGGTTTTCTGCTGTGCTGCATCATCTGGGGCAGAGGGGAGGTTCTCCTGTCTCTGCCTCCTGTCTTCTTGTGTAGGGGCATCCGGATTGCAGATGCTCACTCCACAAGTCCAGCTTTTTGTGTAGGTTGTGGGGATTTGGGATCATGCCCTCTTGTTTGCCCAGCAGTGTTTTTGCCCACTGAACAACCTCCCATTCCTCACCTTTCTTTCTTCCTTCCTTTCTGCTTTTTCTTTTTAAATTTGTGATTTTTGAGGCAAGGTCTCACTATGTAGTCAGGCTGGCTTTCGATTCTTTATGCTCCTGTCTCAGCCTCCTGAGTGCTGGGATTACAGGCCTGGGTCACCACTCAAAGCCACTTGACACTACTGGTCTGGCTTACTTGGAGTTTTAAGTCTTTTCCTCACACATATGTAAGTTCCTCCTAAGTCATACCTCTTTGTAGCAGGCTGTGGCCTCATACTCCAAGGAGTTCTCCAGTTACCAGGACCGGATGGTTGAAACGGCCAGGCTCTTACCTGGGTCTCTGTGAGGTTCAGCTGGCGGGCCAGCTCCGAGCGCTCTCGGCCCACCACATATTGGCAGCGCTGAAACTCCATCTCCAGGCGGTACAGCTGCTCCGCAGTGAAAGATGTACGGGTCCGCTTGGGGCGGTCCAAGTCCAGGCCCCTGGGCAGGACAATTTCCCGGATGGTCCCCTTGGCATCTACAAAGGTCATGAAGGGGGAGCCAGGTTAATTCCCTAGCCAAGTTAGAGTGTCTCATTGTGTGGCCCAGGCTGACCTTGAACTCACAGTCCTCCTGACTTGACCTCCTGGGTACCGGGCTTACAGGTGCATGCTATCGTGCCTGGCTACCAGCCGGCATCTTGAGAAGAGCGTGTTAGGGAATCCTTTGGCTCCTGCTTGAATAAATGCCCTCAGAGAAGTTGCTGTCCGTCTTTGGCCTGAACTTGATCACCCACCCAATGCAGGGTATGATATGTAATGGGGTTATAAATATAGATACAGATGTGAATGGGTCTCAGTAAAAATGTCAGTCCAGATATCCTGGCCTGGGCAGAAAGGATTCTCTGTGGCCCATCTGCTACTCTGTTCTCTTTGCAGGGAAAAGAACAACTGGAAAGAAATAAACTGAGTCCTCAAGTACAGAGAAGATGGTTTGTCACAGAAGCTTCCCTAGAGATGCTCAGCCCTGGTCCTAAGGGGCACGTGTGCGTGCCTGTGTGTGTGAGTGTGTGTGTGTGTGTGTGTGTGTGTGTGTGTGTACTGATGGGTGAGCTCTCTGCCCCACAGACCCTCCTTGGGTCCATGAGGAGGTTTGCTGGTGTGGTGTAGAGAGTAGAATGGGGAGCTGGGAGCCCCAGGAGGAGCCTGAGAGCAATTAGCACCTACTAGGGTGCTGGGGTACCTCTCAGACAGGGAACTTCCCCACTGCTGGTGTCCCTGTATAGCTGAGCCAGTCTGGGGCTCTGGGCCATTGTCTTTTACCCATCGCCTCTCTAGTATGGGGAGACTGCGCTCTCTCTGGGCGCAGGGTGCGCTCACTCCCTGCGGGTCCGCAGACTGCTCTGGGGAAGTGGCGGCTCCGGGAGTGGTGGGCGCCCTGCAGGCTTTCCCGGTGGCTTGGCGTGTCTCTGGTGCTGGCGACAGCTGGTGGCTGTCGCAACTTCTCTGGTGCTGGGAGCTTACTCTGCTACTGGAGCATTGTCCAGCCAGAATCCCGTCTCTATTTCACCCGTGTACCCTTCCTCAGGATGTGAGGCTCCTGGCCACTGAGCCACGCAGGGAAGGAGTACAGAGATGGCGAAAGCTGGTGTCCGTGGGTCGGTAACGGAAGGTGCTGCCCTCCGGGGGAATCAGGTCGCCGGTACACAAGACTCAAGGCTCGGCTTAGTCTGTGCTTACAGCTTTATTCTCTCTGGGACCCAATCTCTGGGACCCAGTCTCTGACCCAAAATCCCAATATTAAGAGAAGGCTAAGATATTTTATACCATGGGGGTAGTGGTAAAAGCTTTGGCTGTTAGATGCTTTGTGAGGCATTCTATTTACATGTGGAAGTGGATTTCTGCCAGACAGTTGTCTGCTAGGAAAATTACAGGAAGGCCTGGTACCTTTCAGAGCCAAAGGCCATGTTTATGTTATAGCATTGGTGGTGGACACTTCAAAAGGAGAGACAGGGAAGATGCCAGGAAGACACCCCGCTATGAAAGGAACCCGCAGCACATAACCCGAGCTGCATGAGCTGTCTGGTGTGAAGGGGCTTCGACTTTGCATAACAGAGATCTCCCAACACTCTAGTGTTTTGGAGTCCATTTAAGAAAGGTCAGAAGACCATCGGAGCCTCAGAGCTCCACAAAGCACTCAGAAAGGTGAAATATTTGTAGGGTGAGATGTTCACACATCAACTTTAACTGTAAGAGAAGGAGAATCCATGTCTAAGCAACAAGACTGACTTGAAATCTACTGTGAGAGCAAGCACGCTGTTGTGAATCAGATGGTGGACGCAGGCAAGCACTGTACCGGTGAGATCCACCAGTCATGCAAGGAGACCAGCATCAATTCACCATGATAGGAGGGACAACAGCAATGGAAAACTTACGAACTCAGCTTGGCACAGTGTTGCACACCTGTCATCCCAGCACTTGGGAGGGGGAAGCAGAAGGATCAGAGGTTCAAGACTTGTCTCAAAATAAAACAAAGCAAAACAGACAGACAGACAGACAGACAAATCCGAAAAGCATAGCACTCAAGGCAGCCCTCCTGCAGGAAGCCCCCCTGGAATGCTCCACTTTCCCACAGCTGCAAGGATCGCTATGTCCACCAGGGGGCAGAAAGGTGACATTTGTTTTGTGGCCAAACCTGTTTAATTTTTAGTCTTCAGGTAATGCTCCGAATGGGATTTTCACCAAATCAACAAAATTTATCAAAAAAAGAGGGGGGGGGGCAAATAAAAAAGAATAGGTGATCGCTAGCCGAAAAGCTATTGGCAGTTCCAGGCGGCTGGGAGACAGGGAGTAATTTTTCTTCAGTAGAGTAGCCACTGGTAAATTGCTCATTCTCCAGTAAATAACCCCAAACCAAGCCCACAAACATGCAAGCAATCCTAATTAAAGTCAATAGATTATATATATATTCTTTTATATGGAGCTGAGGAGATGGCTCAGCAGTTAAGAGCACGTACTGCTCTTGCAGAGGACTCAAGTTCAGTTCCCAGTACCTTAGTCTACAACTCCAGCTCCAGGGCATCCAGTGCCCTCGTCTTGACTTCTTGAGAAACTGAACACATATACACCCCCCCACAGGCACATACACATAATTAACTTTTTTGGGGGGGGGGGGTCTTTTTGAGACAGGGTCTCCCCGTAGCCCCAGCTGTCCTGGAACTCACTATGTAAACCAGGCTGGCTTTGAACTCACAGAGATCTGCCTGCCTCTGCCTCCCGAGTGCTGGGATTAAAGGTGTGTGCCACCATGCCCAGCCACAATTAAATTTTTTTAATTAAAAAAATTTAGCTGGGTGTGGTGGCGCACGCCTTTAATCCCAGCACTCAGGAAAGAGAGGTAGGAGGATCTTTGTGAGATCAAAGCCAGCCTGGTGTATATGGTGAGTTCCAGGATAGCTGGGGCTATGGGGAGGCCCTTTCTCAAAACAAAATTTAAAAGCAGGAGGGGGACTTGTTCGGAAGAAGGGATTCAGAGGGAGTAAGAGGAGGAGAGAGAGGGGAATAGGGCAGTGGGGGTGAAATACAGCATATAAAATATACATGAACAAACAACAACAAAAGAATAAGTGGTGCTTCTCAATTCCTGCTCCAGGCCAGACACTGTTTGAGGACGCTAACCTTCCCAGTGTCTCAGTGGAGTTGGAACTGTCATTTCCTCACGGTTCCACTGTCAGTATTCAAAAAACTCTAGAAACACTCTGATTTTGCTGAGGATGGCGGTACATCCCTGTAATCCTACCACTTGGGGGACCACTGGCAGGAAGATTGCAAGTTCAAGGACAGCCAAGGCTATGTCCTGAGACCTTTTCTCAAAAAACAAAACAACAACAACAAACCCCAAGGCCTAGAATCCTGGCTCCAGATAGTTAACCTCAGCTCTCCTTCCCATACCCACACCACAATCTGACCTTCTGGCTCCTGTGTGCCCTGTGTATTCCAGGTTTTGGCTCCTTGGGGGAATCCTAGCTCCTGAGTCCTGCCCTTGACCTCAGAGGTTCTCAAGTACGTTCATGTTTAGTCAGCCCTGGAAAGCAGGTGTGTGGGGGGATTGCAATTCCTGCTCAGAAGGGGCTGCCCGGCTCCCCAGCCTTCTAGCCCACATCCTGCCCAGCCCTAGGCAAAGCATATCATAGATGCAGGCCTTGCTTTGGAGGTGTCGTAGGAGCCACAGGCCTCTCGGGACAACTTAGAATACCAGCTCCAATTCCTTCCACATTCCAGAAGAAGAGGGTAACATTCCTGACAACTTTGTGAAGGGGCTGATCCCTTTGATGGGCTTCAGTCAATACCAATGGAGAAATGAAACTGAGGAGTTCCTTCCAACACTCAGAAAACTCATGTGTGGAGGCTCAGGTTATACCTGTCACTATAATCTTCAAACCTTTCCCAGGCAGCTTCTGAGCCTGGGAAGCTCCTGAGAGTGAACCCTTACTACAAGGTCAAGCCATACTCGGATGTACTTCTCTCCCTACAAGAGCTAGGAGGGGCACTGCCACTCCAAGAGTGACCAAGGGCAGCTCCCTCCCTCAGGGTCACCACACAAGAAAGGCAACTTCAAAGCTGCTACCAGACATCAAGACACACCACGCTCTCAAAAGGGCAGGAAAGATGTTCCGTGCCACTATCCATTAGGGGAACTAAATTAGAGTCACAGTGAGAAGTACCTGTTGGAGTGGCTGAAATTACAAATGGTGGTGGGGCCAGGGGGAGAAAAGCAGGAAGAGAGAGGGAGGCAAGAGGGGAGGGAGGAGGAAAAGAGAAGAGAGCAAAGGAAAAGACCTGGGAGTGCCAGAGGCTTCATTCAAGGATGCAAACACCAGATTGCTGGGGGGAGCGGGGTGTTGTTTTTTCCTTCCACAACTGAATTTTTACAGATTTCATACAATGTATTTTGATCATATCTAGACCCCTTCCCCTATCTGCATCTCTATTTAATACCCTTTTCCAAATATATATTGCGTTCATCCACTGGAACCTGGTCAATCTACCTGGAGTCTCACCTTTAAATGAAATTGATTCTCCCTCTCCCAGAAGCGATCCATTGCCAGTTCCTCAGGTGGGGTTGGAGTTTATTCTCCACTTCCTCACATCTCTGCAGGGATTTTGTCTGATTTGAGCTTGCATGGGGCTTGTGCATGCTGTCACCATTGCTGTGAGTTCATAAGAGTAACTGACCAGCTGTCTGAAAAACTCTGTTCCTTGTGCTTATCTACTTCCTCTGGCTCTTGCAATCTTTCTGCCCCCTCTTTTACAATGATCTCTGAGCTTTGGGAAGCAGAAGTTTGATATAGGTGTCCTACTCAAGGCTAAGCACTCTGCAGCCTCTTACTCTCTGTACATTGGCCAGTTGTGGTTCTCTGTGTTAATCACATCACATCTGCTGTAAAAGGAAGCTTCTCTGCTGAGACTTTGCATTAATCTGTGGGTATAAACAACCGTCCTGTTAAGGTAAAAGAAAAAATCCCAAAAACCCAAAAAG